CCCCCCCAATCACCCCGCCAGTGCCTCCGGAAGGTGGGGGAAAGGGAATCCCGCAGACACTGACCCCATTATCTAGCTACAGATCCCACCACCCTCCCTGCGCCTCCGGCAGGCGTCAGTATCACGAGACCTAGCCACAGACCCCAGCGCCTTTTCAGCCTTAGGAAGTCCTCTAGACACTAATTTCCCCCCCCCCCCCCCCCCAACCCAAAACACCTAGCCACAGACCCCAGCGCCCTCCCTGAGCCTCCAGGGGATTGGTTCCCCCAGACACTGACCCCGTCGCCCTCTCTGAGCCTTGGGAAGAGTCCCCTAGACAATCAGCTCTTACTTCTCCTGAAGGTGTTCTCATGCACTGAACCCAACTTTACCCAATACATTTCAAGCACACAGAAAACCAGAAAAGCATCCGAAGAAGTGGGCTGTAGCCCACGAAAGTTTATGCTCAAATAAATTTGTTAGTCTCTAAGGTGCCACAAGTACTCCTGTTCTTTTTACAGAAAACCATGGGTATTTGGGGATTCAGTTACCCTTAAAACAGGAGGATGGAGGGCTGCTCTTAAATTCTCTCACACAAATCCTAGTGAGAATGTACAAGCCGCATGGAAACACCCATTGCAAAAAAACTACTCGTTGTAAGCATGAGAAACTTTAAAAACTGCCTTAATTAATCCCAGCATGAAAAGAGTCTCCCGTGGAATGAGTGGGAAGCAGAGCAGATCTGAATCCATGAGTGTCACAGACTTTTAGGGAGTTCAGTAGCTGCACAGATCATGCTGAAGATGGGGGTACAGAATGGGAGTTATATTATTTCATGTCCTCAGTAAACATATATAGCTGCACTATTTTGCAGCCAACAGTCCAAACCTCAGCAGTTACAGGAACATTGCTGTAGCACTGTAAGACTTCCATAGCATTTTCTTCCCATAGAGGGGTCAAATGCTGTCACCCTAACTCATCTTTAAAGTATATTTGTCCGTGAGTAGTTGCACTGAAATCAGTGGGGGAGCACAATCTGGTCTGATGAGTATTTTTTGTCCTGGACCTTTTAGTCTGCACCAGCCCCAACAATCACAAACAGGGAAGCTTAGAAAAACCTTCTCTCCCTCTCTACCCATGTGAACTTTTCCATTTAACGCCACCACTTTAAAAAAGGAAAGCCTTCAATTCGTTTCGCTGCAAAGACTTCATGTTTAAAAAAAACTAAAGGGGGGGAAGAGGGGAAAATCCAGGGGGGGAAAAGCAATGATTTTTAAATGAAGTGTTTAAACATTGTGTTCAACAGAAATCTGTGCTCCTGGGACAATACATTCTGACTGTGATAAATAGAGCTGAATTGACTGACAAGTTTGTACACGCTTGAAATTTTTGCAATTGTGTAACACTAAACAAATACAGACTTTTCTTTATTTTAATAGGCCTGGAGTGTGCTAGGAGAAAGGCCCCTGGTTGTCTTTGCAGTTGTTTACTCTGTGTAATGGAAAAAAAATCAATGAAAAGTTCCCAGTGTGTATGCTTAAACCATGCACTAGGTTAAATACAGCTCCTGAATATTATGGGATCTACATTGAAAACCACCAACTTGCTTTTTCAAAAGGGCAATGCATGCAAAGCATCTTTAGGATATATGTGATTGTGGGTATGTCTCCATTTGTAAACTAAACATTTTGTCAAAATGCCTGAGTGAAGGAAACTCGAATTAGAAGCATATTAGGAAGGAGGGTGAAATATCTTATTTTAAATTGGAGGGAAAGGCCAGTGTCAAGTAGTTTAGTTAGCACACTCAGATACTACAGTGATGGGTGTTTTAGAAATACTTTAAAAGATTAGATTAGATTAGGCCCAAAATGTATGCTTTGTTTAAAAAGAAAAAAGTTAAGATTTTTTGGGGAAAAATATAATCCCAGTTATTAATAGAAATGTTTCAATTTTTTTATATGTCAAAATCATTTGGATTTAAGCATTCCTTTTCTGCCTTGTGTTAGTGTATGAAAACCCAAGTTGAAACTGACTGTAAATAAAAAAATGAAATTAACCTGTGCAGTTTTACAGCCCTTATTGGTGGAAGTAAAAACAACAACAAACACCCCCAACGCCTCCCCCACCATAAAGGGTAAAAGGTAAATGAAAATGTTCAGCCTCTTGATTTTGATTAAGTATTAATAACACCAGTAAGAAGATATACAGGATATTTATATGTCCTTTATGTAAACTGAAAGTGTGTGTAAGTCTGTGAAGATGGAGGAAGATGCAGGAAGCTCACCTTTCTCAGTCCCATTCTGATGTGCAGGGGAAGATACTGGATTCCTGGACCTGGCAAAAGCACTCATCAGAGGAAGGGCCCCTGGTCTGTGATTCCTGGGCCTAGAACAGGAAGAAAAGAGCAGCATAGCACTGTAATTGTTTCAGTCTAAAGGGCACTGCCTACACATTAGGGAATTATATTGCTCTGACTAAGATGGCCCTATTAATAACTCCAGTATGCAACTAGGACCTGATCCCACCCCACTGAAGAAGTCAATAGGGCTACTCAGGTGCTTGAGGCTAAGCAAATGCTTAAATTCCTTGCAGAATGGGGGCCTTAATATGGTTAGTAAAGGACAGCACACTTACCAGTCTTCTGGATCACAGTCTCTGAATCCTTTAGCGAAGGGGTTGCTGGCAATCTTGAGTTGTGTGATCTGAAAGGAGGAGGGAAGGGGAAAGGACGTTGAGTGGCACTTGCAGATATTGCTGATTAGAGAGTGCCTACTCCTTTAAACTGACTTCTGGGACAAATCAACCGAGTTTCACCCAGTATAATGGAGGGGGCCCAAATAGTATGTGCAGTCCTGGTTCCTCTTGGAAAATTATAGGCACCAGCAGGTTTGAGAGCTCTCTTTGCTTTGGAATACAGACATGTGGTTTCCCTCTGCTCGAAAATGCAGAATTGTATGCTATCTAATACGAGTTCAAGGCAAAGGGAGAGGCAGCCCGAGTCTGCTGCTAAAGCTGTGTAAATGCACTTGTAAGAAAATGCCACATTATATGGGTCACCACCAGAGCAGCTAAGACAAATCACGGGATAAATCATACTTATGTATTTATTTAATTCGCCAGGGAGAAGGCAGGACATTTTCTATATTTAAGCAAATCCACGGATAAAGTATGTGATTGTGAGTTTCCGGAATGGGTTGAAAAACAAACTTTAAGCCCCTCAGTGACAGTTCCAGCCTTAGAGGTCAAACTGATAGAAAGCAGGAGAGAAAGAGCAGCTGTCCTGAGCCATCAGGCAAATGCCAACTTGGGAGGGATGGGGGAGCCCCTTAAAGGCGCAGCACCCAGCTCTCAGCCCAGAAGTCTTTGAATATGTGGGTTTTGGATGTTGTCCAAATAATAATTGTGGAATTTTTGTATCCGTGTAAATTTGTTTATTTTTAAAAGCTTGAAACAATTACAAAGGGTGGGATCTACACCTTTTGCTTCCTGGGAATAGGCACAACTAACTGTGCTAATAAAAATATAAAAATAATCAAATAATAGATAATCAAATAAGCGTTTTAATATTCCTACGAGACCCAAGAGCTACAAAGGGAAGAAGGAATCTGGCGTTCAATCAGCTCTCAGAGTTGGATAATAATATTTTACCTTGCACTATTGGGAAAGATCCTTAATTTGAAACTCTAATTATAGACACGATTCGCTCCTCGGTTTATACTAAATGAATGTTATTTTAAAAAGCGACTGGATTTAATGCTACCCAAAATATGTTCTATTATTTGTGTGTTCCTAACGAACAGACCCAGGGTGGCAAATGCAGATAAGTAAAATAGCATATTTGTCCAAACAAATTTTGAGTGACATTTCGCAGCGTGAAGGCTGTAGTTTCCCAACTAGCCCGGGTCTCGGGTTTACATAGGTAATGATGTCCCTCTGGGTTTGAGGAAGCTTTCTATGGAGTTAAAATTGCAAATCTGGAGCTCACGCAGCTTCCTCGGAGTGCAACAATGTAGCTTTGGAGCAGGGCTCCCTGAGCTATCAGATTCCATGAAAAGTCAAGGAATGGCTTTAGCAGATGGATAGGAGGACATCTCCCTAGACACCTTCCACAACTCGAATGGAGACTCAGAGACTGACACTTAAAAACCCCAGTTCAGCTCAGCCGTCTCATGCTCCAGACCTAGAGGAATCTTCAGCGAGGCAGAAAAGGACAGCCGATTGTTTCAGGGAAAACAGTCAGAACTCAGTAAACGCTGTTAAACTGATAGGCGGTGGCTCTGCTTACCCATAAAAGCTAATAGGCCTGTTCCAAAGTCCAGTGACATTGACTTCAGCGGGCGTTGGATCAAGCCCTAAATGGTTTGCAGTTCAAAGACTTGTTTAATGATTTGGTCTCCTTTCTCTCTTAGGTAATTTCGGATTTTCTCTGAAAGGAGGAGGAGATCTCTAGTTCATAGGCTTTGGGGCGACTATAAAATAATTTAGTACCATAGCTTGTTGTACACATGAGAAAATTAATGCTTAAGATGGAAAGAGTGTTTCTAATACAAACAGCAATTTAGCTTCTCTACAATTATAAATCACTCAGATGACTGTTTAAATAATAAAACTGTATATTTAAAAGGTTATATATTATCATTCCAGACGAACTTGTGTTGTAGTCTGACATTTCAAATATTAAATTGGTTTTGGATCCAATGAGCAACCTAAAGCAATGAAATGATGTCTGTGTTCCGTTTGTTATAATCACATCTTTGTTATTAATGTTTTATTTGGTTTCCCACTGAATGCTTAGTCATTTCTACTGGATCACACATCCATATTTTCCCCTCTTCCCCTTAACTAAAGTCTATACCATAGTAGTGTATTTGCTAAGAAGATTTTCCCTCAAACTCTCCTTATGCTTTATTATACACAGTAATATGAGATATACAACAATTCTCTGGAGAACATAACAAGGGGTATCCGTCTAGCAATCCCTGTTTCAGTCAGTGCCTGTGACCCCCGAAGGGCTCTTGCTTCACAGTTGCTATAGACTTAATTAACATCTTTTCTTACAGAATCCGAAATGCACATTTGAAATGCTGCTGGGGGGAAGGGGGAAGAGAGTGTGTGTTCTTTTTTAACAAGCTCTAATTATTCTAATCGAGATAGACAGCAAAACAAAAACAAACAAACAAACTCAATATGACTCTTCAAGTGCGTGTTTTAATCAATGCAATGAAAAAAAGTGCTTAAACCCAGAGCATCTGGCAGCTCTCTGATTAGAAACGAGAATCAGAGTTTTTCAGATCTGGCATAACTCATTTTTAACTACTTTTTTTTTTTTTTTTTTTGTTTTGAGTTGCTTGAAAACCTTCTTTAGAAAATCATACGTTTTTTTTTTTTAATTAAAGAGAGAGTGTTGAAAGGTGATTGCATTTACCCAGTTCCAAGAAGCTAAAGACCCATTCTATTTATTTGTATACTAACAAAGTTTCCACTGGCTGGGTATTACCTTTTAAGCATTGACTGCTCTGAATTAATATCCCCCCTCCTTCCCGGATCTCCATCCATCAAGGGGAAGGTTTTGATAAATGAAGTATCGGAGGGTTTGTGTCTCAGTAATGAACTCCAGATCCTCACCCTGTGATTCTGATAGGCGGTCACGGCGGTGAAGCGGGTCTCCTCGAACACAAACGTTTTAAAGTTCTCCTCTGCATACTTCTCGCTGTCTTTCCTGGGGTCCACGTAGACCACATGAAAACGAGGCTGGTATCTGTGCATGGAGTTCAAAATGATCTGAATGATAAAACGAGCAAGGAGATCATAATTGATTCATTCTACACCAGGCCGAGCGCTGAGAGGAGAGCACCGCGCTACGGGTATTGCACCCCTCCCTGCACAATGTCAGGCTGGCAGTCTGGAAATGGACTCCTTGGGGGGAAAGGGGTCAGAGAAACAGCAGGGTTGCAGCTCCTCTGAGGCTACGTCGGTGCATAGTATTAATTCGGATTAATGAAGGTTTGATTCTTGTAGGAGGCTATGCAGTGTAACGCTCCGCACGTTGCTCTGAGGTCCTATTTGAAACCCTGGGCACAAGCACTGCAGAGGGGGGGTCCCGTCTGAGCGGGATTCCCCAGCGAGCCTGCCCCCTTTAAAGAGGTGACCTCACTGGGGGGCCAGACCGTTCTGCAGGGAACAGAGGGGAGAGCTGCTACAAGCCCATAGGCTCCACTATTAAATATAAAGAAAGGGGGGAGAGGGGCATGTACCTGAGCTACTGGGGAGCACCGAACTGAATGGAAATAGGCGGGAAATCTTGGGACATACCCAATATATGGAACAGGAATGGGAGGATCAAATGGCTATCAAAAGAGAACAGCGTTTAGTTAACTCTGGGCTCCAGCCTGTTTTCCTTAAACACTCATTATTCCCCATGCAGTCAATGCCCATCTCTCTGAAGCCAGTGGAAGTGGTGGGGATGCAAGGAATGGGGGAATCGGGCCCTTAGGGAAAAGTTCAAAGCTAAACTTAAAGTGTCCTGTGCCTCCTCCTTATGGGCCCGATCCAACCCCTGGAGTCAGCACTGGGTCTGGCAGCAAATAGGATATTTGGGGTGTTTCCAATCAGAATGAGCAGTTACTGAAAGGACCCGATCCACCATTGCCTGATCCTTTCTAGATCGTTCAGGCATTTTGAAACCAGGTCTTATTCTAGTTAAACGTGTTTTTCTTTTCGTGTGTGTCAAGAAAATCCACGTGCTGAAGATTTCACGTGCCACTCTCCTCCCCTTTCAGTGCCCCCGATTGGTTCCCCTCCCTAACACTTACGTGCCCATTGTCATCCAATAAATTGTTGGTCAGCTTCAGTTTATCGAAGGATACTATTTGTTTCATCCACTGGGCTCCTTTAGCAGGAGAGTCGGGGTGATAATGAACTCTCCCTGGGGTAGCAGGGTCAGCTTTGCCGGCCACCAGCCAGGAGGAGCTGTGGAAGGCATATCTGCAGAGGGGAGGCAAAGCTCTGTCAATGGCACTCGTGATCCAGTTGGTTAAACATGTGCCTGGTAACCCAGAGTTTAATCGGAGTTCTGCTCTGGACTAGCCACGTGGGCCAAATCCTTACAAACACTCTAGGGTTTTCTCAAGTCTTTCCCCATCTACACCATGGCGAGGAGAACACATGAGGGCTGATCCTGCTCTTAGCCAAGTCCTGGTAAAATTCCACCGATTTTAATGGTGCAGGATCAGGTCTAATTAGCGAAGGCCAGATGCTAACACTTCTACTCAGGTTGGATAATACCCAGTGAGCAGTCCCATTCAAGTCAACGGAACCACTGGCTACTCAGCCTGAGTATCTATATCAGCGTTTAGACACTAAGATTTGAGTGAAGTATTATTTTTCTCGGTGGATTCCTTCTAAAAACCTCTGGGCTGCTCTGGGAACGGAAAGTGTAGTTTTTACACAATTAAAATCTAGCTGTCAAGCTAGTGTGCGGAGCAGGAGAGCGCTTCCCCACTAATGAACGTGGCCTCTGGTTTCCAGAAAGCCAGTGGTAAAACGCCAGACTTGTTGACAAACAAAATTTTTTCCTAAGCTCTCCGGTGGAATTCGCAAAAAGGAAAATCTGCGCGACAGGGAAAATTTATAGCTACCTGCACATATTTGGGATGGAAGCCAGCAATGCTACCGAATAAATAAAATTTAAAGAGTGAAAGGAAACCCTTTACACAGTAATGTTCTGGCTTTAAGTTAAAAGTGGACATTTATGTGCAGTTTAATAGCTGATACAGAGTTTAGCAGTCTTGCTACAGTCTTTCAAAGTCCATATTCAACAGTAACATTAAAAACAGAGAGACCAATCTTCTATGCACGTGTTTACTTTAAAAGCCAGTGTATGCACAGGGGGAATTATACACCATTGGAGTTGAGCAGAAACATTACTTTTTTAAAAAAGATATTCTCAATTGGATGTTATATATCCCATTTCCCCTGACAAGCAAACATTTCTGTAACGCCTTGAGAATTTGGATATCTGTCTAAATATTTATATATTCGACGCTGAGATTCATATGCACACTGGCTTTTAGGCGTCCTGATCTGAAGCGAAATGGATAATGAGCCTTTCACTGTCTTCAAATTAAAGGTGTTACAAATCAAACCGCATCATTGATTTGTGAGCCGCCTATTTCCCAGGTCGCCTTCCTATGCTCTCACTGAAAACAGAGAAAGAATTTGGAGAAATATGCGGTTGGCTTTGTTGGTGATTTTCCAAAGTGGCCTCAGGCTAGGACAATACAAGCTCTTTTCAGTGAAACATAAAGAAAACTAGTCTCGGAGGTTAGCGCACACAGAGCAATACCCATTCCCTTGCTGTACACAATCACCCCCCCAAAGCAAAAGCCTATGGGGATCTTTTATATGAGGTGAAAAATGAAATGTGATTCTTAAAAAGAGCTCTCTCCGACGTGGAATCTCCAAGAACATTGATAAACAGAGAATTCTACAAACACTTTTCCCTCCTAAAATCGCTGGTCTGTAGTTATTGTGCTGAGAAAGCCATTTTACAGGCAGCAATTAGCCTGATTTAGAAGATCGACATTTCTCCCTGCAGATGCAGTTTATGAACTTAATTTTAATGGTTTTTTTTAAGATGAGAATTTGGGGTGAGTTGTTTTTTTCCCCCAGAGATAACTAAGAGTCTCATAGTCATGGATTAAAGGGATTTTTTTTTAAAAAAACCACTAATATCTATGTTTTGACTGTGTGTGTACCTGTAGAATATCCTGTTAGGATGAGGGAATATTTTACTTTAAAATACGTTAGGCCAAATTCTGCTCTCAGTTACACCGACGTAAATTCGAAATCACTCCTAAACTCAATGGAGTGATATGGAATCTACAGCGAATCACACCGAATCTGGCTGGCTGCTCCCAGAGCTAACTACAAAAAGGGGTGGCACCTTTTTATTACAGCCCAGATATTGTATTTTAAAACAGAACCCCCCCCCCCCCCCACCACCACCACCACCACGTGTGGTATTTGGAGAAATCTTTCCTTGCAGTGAGGAAGCCACAACGGATTCAAAACAACAAATCAAGCGTTTAGATTCCAAGTCTAGTCCACTAGACTTTTAACTTCAGCCCAGACTTAAAGCACATCGAGAGTCAAACTAAATAACTGTCCCCGTGATAGAGAAGAACGCTTCTATCGTTCGAGTCCTGGGGCTTGTTAGGGGATGTCACAGAACCTGGAGATTTGAAAGACAGGTCAAAAGGGGAGCTGGCGGGCAGGGGAGTAGTGTGAATCCATTGCTGCAACGGGAGATCTATATTTAATGGCAGAAGCCAACCTAGACCCAATCTATTTTTTTAAATAACTATTTAACCTTTTTCTGTGAGAATTGCTCAGGCTGTTGTGCATGAACTCTAAGCACTCGTGTAGCTGTAACCAAGCCTAATTTATGAGCTGTATGAAACAGGAGTAATTTTACACCCCCGGTTCAAATACGTTTCAATTAAAAAATTCTCTCACTCAGCATCTTGCGCGGAGTAGACAGGCACCGGGGTGCGTTTCACACCGGAGACCTGCCGGGTTTAAGAAGAAGGCAGGGAGGGGAGGGGGAATCGTGCTCGCGGTTCTGTTCTCCCTCCCTTTGCCATTCACAAGCAGGGGTGAGCCTGGTCCAAAGCCCACTGAAGTCAGTGGAAAGGCTCCGACTTGCTGCTTTGGGCACTGACTCGGGGAAATATTTCCACGTGTCTCTTTCCCTCGGTTCCCCATCGCAGTCCCGGCTAGAGGACTCAAGGAAAAGCTTATTCTACTTGCCGGTATCTTTTGTCGTCCACGGGTACAAAATCCATTAACAACATGTAATCAGCCATGGGGTCCATTCCAAATATCTTCACCTGGAAGGTGGGGAACATGCGCCTGGGGCAGGAGAGAAAAACCACAAGGCATGGGTCAGAACAGCCACCAGCTCCTCGCCTGCAGTAATCGGGGACTCGCATCTGGTCACATTTCACTCCATTCTAGCTGCACGGGGATCGTTTCCCTCTTGCAGATAAAACCTTTTCCTCCTTTCTGGCTGCAGATCGATGGCCCGAGCACAGAATAGGTGAGGAACGAGGGTGAGTTAGAAACAATATATTCATCCCTGGACCCGGGAGAGCTGGAGGACTTTACAGATCAAAGGTTTACAATATTGTGGACTAGAATCAGATCGTGGGGACGCTGAAAATGCAACTGATAATTGGAGTGGGGGTTCCATGGAAGAGACATAGGGCCCAATCCTGAACGCCTTCCCCAAACAGACCCACCAAGATCAGCCCCTAAGGCATGCATGAAGTTAAGTTAGCCGAGTATTTTTACACTGATGTCAAATTGCCTTCTAGGAACCGGTAAAACTTTCCTATTTCAAGTCAAGTTATAAGAAGTCACCGAAGGACATGAAAGAGCTGAGAAGTCAGATTCAGTTCTAGCGCGGCGAGATGAATCTAACACAAGGCTCCTGTGTTTTAATAACGAGCTATTATTCCGGGGGGGAGGGGGAGGCTTAGAGATGCGCCAGGCTGGCGGACAATCCGAGCGCCTCCCTAGAAAGCTGCGGCTCTTGGTATCGCTGTCTGTGTCTCCCCCCCTCCCCATTTCAATAGTGTGTGAGTGAGGGGTTACTTTCCCTGCCATTTGGCAACGTCCCCCCACCCCGCAAGCTGTTTGCACAAGGTTGAAAGCTCGTTAGTTGCAAGAGTCTCTTGCAGGGTTGTGCACAAATGCCTGATAGTTCCCCGGGGCCGGGGGGCTTTATAAAGGAGCTCCCAGGAGAAATCTGTCCGTGAACTCGCACATAAAACGTTGGCTGAACATTCAAGTTTGATTTCTGTGATTATACATACAGCTATAAACCCGGTGAACAATCCCTTAGAAATCAGAAGGTCACTAGAATGAGAGAGTGGCGATCATTTTAAATTCCCTTTCGGGGTCTTTCAGACATAGCTCCACAGCTCATGCTCGCTTTCCAAAAAAAGTCAAAACAAAAACACAAAGAAAAACAAGCAAACCAAAAACCAACACCGCCCCCCAAATAAAACAGATGAAATCTGTGCGGGTAAATAGCAAGAGAGGAGGACCCCCAGCCTCACACACACAGTCCAACGGATCCTAGCGCAACTCTCCTATTCACTCCCAGCCGAATAGCACCGATCTAAAGAACTGCTGCGTTTGTGGGGTCTGAACACGCGTCCGAGCTGCGCACACGCTGAAGGGAAAGGAGAGGCTCCAGTTTTGCTGCTTCTCTCTGGAACCCTCCAGGAATTTCTACCTTTTCACACCCACTTTGCTCGGCTCCCTGAAGTTAAAGCAGGAGTGAAGTGTGTGTGTGTGTGCTCTGTATCCCTGTCTCCTCTCCGGGACTAGCTTGACTGGCACTGTCGCCTCACAATGGCAAAGGAAGACACGTGAAATACGCCCAGGAGCCCTTTGAACTCATTTACTTTCTAAACCAGGCTAGTGGGGTAGGTGAGTTACCAAGTGTCATTTCTGACATTCCATCCCCGCTGTACCGAAAACACACGCACCAGGCCAATGGGGCAGGGTGTGTGTCTGTCTGTCTGTCCTGGGGGGGGGGGTTCAGAGCGTTCCCCCAACTCCCTACATTTCCTGACGCGATAGTCACTTGGTTCCCCTCGGACTCCCCCAGCGCGCACGGATTGGGGGACAGACGCTCCTTTCCAGCGCCGAAGGGGCTCAAGGCCACCAGCGCTCTGTTCATTTTGCAGCCGACTGACCAAGTTTGGTCTCGGCATCTTTACGTTTTCGTGCGCTCCGCGGCACTGTTCCCAAGCCAGGCAAGCGAGCATGGGGCATTTCCCCTCCCAGCCAGGCTAGCGAGAAAAGTGGAGAGGGGCTTTTGTGGGTCTCTCTTCCGCATTTTCCTCTCTTGACTTATACCAGGAAGGGGCTCGTTCTGCTTTGGCACCTTGACCCGCACACACCCAGCAATGCGTTTGGAGGCCAGCATTTTCCAAAGGCTGCGAGTTAAAGGTGAACTCAGATGAGCTAGTGAAATGGAATATCAACCCACCCCCCACCCGAGTACGTAACAAATGCGCCAATTGCCTTTGTTCCATTTAGAGCCAATGCTGAGGGCTGGGGGGCTGTTTACCCCAAAGCTTTGGTCTGCTTTTCCGTCTGTTTTAGGTTTGCTTGTTTTGCAAGGCGAGCAACCAGCGCGTGGGGTATTGCAGAAAGCGCGTGCAAGGGAATTTTAACCCACCGGCCTTTACATTTATCCACACTGAAGCTCCAGGGAAAGAGTAAAACAATCTACATTTAGCAAGGAGGTTGACTAAGAAACCTAGCCCGCTTCCCTTGACTTTATTGGAACGCGGTGGAAAGGCAAGTTATTTCTATTACACATTTTTTTATCTCCAGTAAATTTTAGCCCGGCTTCAAACCCATAAGTTCCCGGAGTTTTTGTAACAACAATTACTGTTGCTTATTCAACCTAAAAACGACACAAGTCTCCATGAAAACACAGGGCGCTCCAGAAACCAACGGGAGGTAGCAAGCTAGTTAAGAAGCCAATTGTGATGCTTTTTGTTGTTAAAGTTATACCAGCTCCCGAGGAAAGCATAATATTTTCATACGTTACTGATTTGTTTTAGCAAATCAACACGGACATTTAAACCGCCCTCTATCTAAAAGATTTAAACCCTTATTAACCTTAACTCCAGTGTTTCTTTTTTTTTTAAATGAAGCTTTAAACAAACAATTTAGCTTGATAAACCCCAGCTAAAAAAACACTTAAGGCCAACACAGGCAACCGTGAAAATAAATGAGACCATTAATAGAGCGCAGTGGGGCTACCTGGAAGCGGCAATCTGCCTTTCAGATCGGTTTGCATGTTTTATTTTACCACCAGTTTTACATCCCTTGCTCGTTCAATTAACCCTTTCGTCATTTAAACCTACTCTTTGTTTTAATATCATCTCTGCACCTATACAGAGTTATTTCACAAAGTCTCATGTAGAGTCGTTGCCGAGTTATTTATAACGCAGCCGTTCAGATTTCTCCCTCTGTCTCACCCACCCCACGCTCGTCTGTAAAATCAAAAGGACACTTCAGGGCTAAAAAAAATCCTGTTTTCCCGAAAGGCTCAGCTGTTAGCTAAAATGGCCTTTTCCGTTAAAAAAACATAAAAATAAAGAGAGAGACTCAGATGCGATTTGTATTCAGTGACGGCGGGTAACGGTGACACTAAAGCATTTAGGGAAATAAAAGGAACAATCCTGGACAACATAGTAGAGGCTGCAACACGGAGCGAAGAAATCTCCAGTCGCAAGGACTAGTCAAATCCAGAGCCCAGTCGCGAAGACTAGGAAGGAGACTAGACTCCGTATAAGGCCTGGCGTTTAAGGTCCAGGGCTGGGCTGAGAAATGCTTTGTCTAAATGAGAACAAGCACCCGGGGTTCTGATTTTTGGATTCTCCCCACCAACCCCCACACTGGAACCGTACCAAAGCAGTGACACGAACCTGAGCTCTACAAAGCTCCCGCACCGAGCTTTGGAAAACACTGATTTTTTCCCTCTCCTCCATAACCCTTAAAATCAATAGAGGCCTGTCTCTGGGATAGAAAGCAACAGCCTGGCTGGTGTGCGTTAGAGATGCTGAAATCTTTTCCTGGTGTATTGTTCACCACAGACAACAGCTCGAAGGACACTGGGAATGATTTGCTGGATTCCGCAGCCTTTTAAAGATGAAGTTACAGGGGCTGCCATTTGCTAACCTGCTCATCAAGGTATTACCAAGTGATAGGATCTACAACATTATTAACGACCGGGGGAGTCAGTCAACATAACACAAGCCACAAGTACAAACTCCGATGGCGAAAGTCAAGCCACCCGGGTGTTTGTTGCCGCTTGAACAGCAGAGAGAGCGTCAAAAGGCCGCACAAAAAGAGTGACACTAAAAGGTGTTTGCAGAGACAGCCCCAGCGGGGAAAGGTTTTAGGAAGTCTTACAAGAGAACACATCGCAGTAAACGTGCCGGTCCGTGAACCCTCTTTATTCGCTCTCAAATGCTATAAGAAAACGAGGAGCTCACAGCAGCCCAATACCAACGCAACTCAGGGTCAGTTTAGCTATTTCACTTGAGATCACAGTTTAATGGTGTCTAATTAACAGACAGGGTCATAATCCTGCCCCCCCTCCCCCACTCCCAGGTAACTGTTGAATTAGCTGTAGCATAGAGATTTCCTTTTTAAACAGGATAAAACGTTCGCGTCCTTTGTTAATTTCGACGACGAAGCTTTATGCTAACTGGGTGTGCTGCCTTCTAGGGTTTACATTGATGGGTTCGATCCGGCTCTCCTCAAACTGGTAAACTACCCACTGAAATAGCTGGGAGATTTACCGGACAAAAGGATGCTGTATGGGGCCCCATAATTAATATTCTCAGTGCTGGTAATTTGTGGATTCCAGAGAAGGAAATGTGGAAAGTACTGGAAGGTGAAAAAGAGCTGCTGTGGCTTTTTATCTGTAATCTCTTCACGCGTGCTCTAAAACATCCGAATGGGGATTCATTTCTGCCCCAGAAATGCGTTTGAACAGAAGTGGGTGTTAAACGGATCCTGCTAATCAGTGTCCTCTGCAAATACATCTGATTTTAAATCTCGCGTTTGAGAGTCAAAGGCGATGTTAATGGTACTGACTTTGTCGTAGTACAGTAATCAGTCTTCGACGTGTTACATAACTCCCCCCCCCCCACCACACACAAACACAACTTTCCTATTCGAATCTGCTGGGGAGTTGTGTACATTTTAATGCACTGCTGTTAACTCAGGTATCTGTACGGACTTTCACAGAACCTCCAAACCCTTCGCTCCACAAGAAAATTGCCGATTCTGCTCTTAAAGAAGCGCGGGGGTCAAATGACTGTATTGGGGGCTAGCAAGGTGATTACCCCGACAGAGGGGATTTTTAAAAATAGTCTGTTTTCTTCCCAAAAGAAGTATTTGCTCGCTAACATTTCACAAGAACCCATAAGGTGGTGGCTCTATCGGGAGCCCCACATTGAACTCAGCACTAACGTGTACGAGGCATGAGTCAGAGACCGAAAAACGACAGCGGCTCATTTGGTCGGGATCTAACCCCGCAGCCCTCGGCAGAAAGGGCCCGAGCAGGGCACCCGCGCAGCGAGGAGCAGCCCACGGGGCGCTATCGGTTATTTCGTTATCACACCGGGACACTTCCCGCTGGCGGGGCTATAAACGTTACGATGCTTTAAGCGCGCAGTAAAAATGTATTTTCCTGCGCTCGTAAAACCGATCATAAAAAAAAGCCGAGGAAGCCCTAGGGTAGGCGAATGGGGTGGAGGCAGGGTTCGCTGGGCTGACAACTCTGGGTGCAGGGCTGAGCGGGGCACCGGGAGAGGGACCCTTGGGGGCCACCCTCTGGGATTGCGGGCTCTGGGGTGCTGTGTGCGTGCGGAGGGGGGGGGTTGAAACGGCTTCCACCCCCAGCACGAACCTGGTTGAAAACTCCCTCCCCGGGCCTGCCCCAGCCGCTGCGAGCGGGGAGGCGCCACTGACCTGCCGGCCTTGGTGACGATCATCTCGGTGCCCAGCTGGTTGAACTCGTCCCACAGCGCCTTCATCTCCAGCTGCACGCTGACATTGGCCACCTTGGGGTTCTTCTTGACGGGCGCTTTGGCCGCCGGCGCGGCGGAGCAGCCCGAAGCCGCCGCGCCGCCGCCGCTCTCGGGTGGCTCCGGGCCGGGCGGCGGCGGGTTGGGGCCCGAGCCCGGGCCGCCCCCGAACGGGTAGCCGTGCTGGTGCGGGTGCTGCTGGGCCGAGCAGGGCTCGTAGTGCGGCGGCTCGGGCTGCCCGTAGGGGTCCCCCGGGGAAGGGGAGAGGTGGTAGCCGCCGGAGGCGTTCAGGCTGCTCAGGCTGTTGGCCGTGAAAGCTGCAACATCGCAAAAATGGGACAGCTGGGTGAGCCAGGGGCTGGAGATGGCTGAAATCATTCCAAAAACAGGCGGTCAGGGCTCGGCTCCGGCTCCCCCTGCTCTGCGCGCCCGCCACCGCCGCGCCCGCGTCTTCACTGCGCTCCCCGGGGTGCCCTCCCTCGCCCCAGCCCCGCCTCCCCCCTTTGGGAGCTGCTGGGCTCCCCGGGCAGGCTGAGCTCGCGCGGCGAGGCTGCCAGGAGCCGAGGCGCTGCAGAGCCCGGCTTAGCTGTGCAGAGGGCCTCCCCTCGCCGCAGAACCGGTTCTTATTTCTATTGAGATAAGGCGCTGCAGGTAATGGGCCTTTCCTCGCCTAGGGACTGGAGCCCTGACGAGTTGATTGACAGAGGAGTGCGCCTTTTTAATAGCCCGCCTGACACCCAGTTTTCCCCCCCGAGCCAAAAAAAAAAAAAAAATAGGCATCGCCCACAGGACCCTCCACTAATAAACAATCTACACGCGCACGGTGCAGGGAGAGCTCTACCCCCCAGCAAACAGGCACTGGAATAAAGCAGACACACAACACTGCCTGCACAACAACCGCCTCGTCCCCGGGCACCGCTGGAATTTGCGTTCTACAATTGTGAATACAATCTGATTCGCTTTGCACAAGCTGCAGGACTGAAATAGTCCTGGCAACACACTCTTGTCTCTCTGGATGTTTGTTTCTTAGTTTATTATCCCCCCCCTGTCCCCCCCCCATATATTTGAGAAGGATTTTTTTTTTTAAAAAAGCCCAATCAACTCTGCATCTGCACTTGAAAAAGCGAGAGAATTCCTAGAGGGTGCGTCAGTAGCCAGCAAATCGGTGATTTTTAGCCCGTTTTCATTTGCTGATCCCGACACAATTTAGAATGGAGTCTACATCTTAGACATCGTCTGCGGACCCCCAGGGGTCTGCGGAATACAGGTTGAAAGCCACTGCTCTCAAGGGATATGGGTAAAACTAACAGAATTGTCACTGAGCGGGAGAACAGAATGATAAGAGACTGAGGGAGAGTGTTGTGTTTACAGTAAAGTGGGGGAGGAAATAGAATCGTTTAAAAAGACGAGGGGGACCAGATCTTTCTAAAGAGCGTTGACATAAGCACAGTATTGTTTTAATTGCGGATTGGGGACGTTAACAAACCGCTCTTTAGGTTGCAAGCTGTGCTGTCTGATTAAATCTCTTCGCAGTCAAAACGTCATTACAAACAACACCGATCTTTGATAAGCCTGCCTAGGCCTCTGCCACTTCCACCTCTTTTTGTCTCGGGAATACTGTCTTTTTCCTCACGTTGTTACTCTTATTTACTCACTACGGCTCAGGTCTCTTAAGCAGCCAGGAGTTGCTATCACCAGTTTTTTATTTCCGTTTACCGGCTGCAATTATTATTTTTTTTTTAAATATTTTGACGCTTTGACGCAGCCATGGCAGGGAAATCGGCTGCAAAATACACATTTCCCCACTTACAGTCAAAACAAAACCCCGGCACAACGGCTCCGAGGGAATTCCCCTAAAATCCTGCATCCCCAAGATTTGCTCCACCCGCCTTTTTTTTTTTTTTAATGCATTTCCCCTCGCGCTCTAGTGGGGCTTTGACTTCTTAGCTCCCGGGCTCGGCTTTGCAACTGCCCCAGCAGCCGCAAGGTGAACGAAGCTCGGGTCCGGGCTGCACTTACCTTCCATGTCTCTGGTGACGGTGCTGAAATGCATCCTCTGCGGCTGGGGGCCGGGGCTGAAGTGCTTGCTAAGGCCACAGCTGGGCTCCTCCAGCGCTTCCTTCCCTGCGTGCTCGGCGGCGACTGAAATCAGAGAGGCGATACGGAAAGCATTTGCCTTGGGAGACAGAGGGCTGTTCTCGTCCATAGGGGAGACCGATGCCGCAGCCTCCCCCGCCCCCTGGCCTCGCCAAACGCTCCCCCCGCTACCACACCATCCAGCCAGGCACCAGGCGCCGCCAAGCTCGCTGCACCGCCTCGAAGGGGCCACGGGAGGAAGTTTCCAGGGCGCTCCCTTGAGGTCTGCGCTCAAGATCCCTTCGGCGTCTGCAGAGCAGGCGGATCGGGCCCCAGCAGGCGCGGCTCCCGGGCGAAATCGGCCGGTCCCGCAGCGGCTTCCTCCTCGGTGATTTATTGATTGATTTCTCGCCTCTCTTCCTCCCCCGCCCGCTCGCAGCAGGGAAAGTGGCTCCCTTAAAGGCGCGCGGCCCCGCTCCGGGGGTGGGTGATGTCACATTGGAAGCCTGGTGCGTCTGCCTGCAGCGGCGGCGGCTGCCCAGAGTCTGTCAAAAGGCTCGGGCGGTTTCCGCGCCTCCTGGGCACAGGCAGGGAAACACCGCCGTGCGCACGCTGCGGGGGTGGGGTAGGGGCAGGTTGTATTTAAATGGCCCCCTGTCAATCACGGCGCCCAGGCTGGAGGGAGCCGGGGAAGGGGGGAAAAGAAGAAAAGCGGGACGTCACTGCGGATGTCCGGTCCAGCTAAATACTCAGTGGTGCCCCCCCCCCTCGCCCCTCCCCCAGTCAGGGGGAGCTTTGACACTCTGCGGTTTGCTGGACGCAGCTCCCACCAGGCTCGGGAGAAGCAGGACAATAACCATTTTGAAGTCCTTCCTCCGGCAAAACTCCAGCCAGGGCTTCAAGGATTTCTGCTCAGGATGGAAAATAAGGCTCCTGGGGTATTGATGATTATTATGACCCGCAGCGCTTCCTCGGGCAAACTCCAGCAAGGACGTTCAGCATTTTGCTCATATCATAATAAATTCGTAAATAATAATAATAAGTTAATAATTAATAAAGCAACCGTTCATAATGATCAGGAGCATTGTCATGGGCCGGGCTGCAAAAACCAACCAACCAACCCTGTGTGCCCGATCCAGCTGTATGGGTGGTACAGATTATGATTATTGTAGCAGAGAATCATCGCCTTTGTTGGTGATTATTTTTTAAAGCCATTTTCCTCCCTGCTGAGTCAGAAAAAAAGTGTGACTGTGGTTTGTGCTTTAACATACAATCTGTTGATTTAAAGATTTGACGGAGACATATTTAGAAAGTTTGCAAAAATGGCTGTATGAACCTGCTTTGTGTATCATGGTATAATTCAGCTTGATTTAAAAAAATAAAATAAACGCCTTTCAGGGAAAAAACCCGTAGTTAGAACAGGACTTTACAGACAGGTGTTCCATAATATCCTGTTTTTAGATTATATTCATATTATTAATCTAGATAGCCAGATATATAAATCTGCTTAATTGGCAGTCACGTGCAAAGTTATCCTTGAAAGGGTTTCACCTTTATCAAATGCAACGTTGTAAGGCCAAGCAGGGAAACAGTATCGCCTTTCATTGCTATAACAGACCCAGCATATGTGCAATGTGATACTCACTCCAACTATATCAGCCTATAGGATAACCCAAGGCAAACACAGCTTGTTTAGCTGTCTCTCCTCCTCTGCATCAGAAAGGCTGAGGCATTGGACCCGAAAGCGTCAAAACTGCACCTCTGGCTGCAAATTGACGAGCACAACCGAAGTCCTGCCAAGTTGCTTCCAGGTGTGTGTCCAACGTGAGACCCATGCGAGCACCCCTGAAAGTCACAAAGCGTCGGGGAATGTTGAGCCCTTTCTCAAAAACAAACCAGCGGTGTCACTGGAAGAGGCAGTGAACAAGTAGGGAACGCAGTTCTGATTGCATAACCCCATCAATGCAAAGGTGGTGCACTAGGTTTATATATAATTGCCCTGTATATAGCCTGAGGGGTCGATTCTCATATTGAAATCTTATTATCTTTGGATGTGGTAAAATATATGCAGAGAGAATTTACAGAATCCGGTTACATATTTGACCTGCGATTTTCAGCTTAAGGCATTACTTTATATTATGTTAGATATTATCGTATATTGTTATTTCAGTCAGCAGCTTTTCAGTCCCCCGGTCTATTGACTGAGCTATGGAGGGGGGACAGATTATTTGATAATCCTCCTATTTTTTGGAGATGAGCCGCACTGATTTTGTGTACACGAAAAGTGGATTCAAAACGGCAACCGTAAAATCGTTGGTGTGACAACGAAAAAAATCTAAAATCTCTTACTAGATCATTTATTCTAAAAGAATCTCATCTATATGGCGCGGAGCGGGAGACTATTACCTAGAAAACAATTCCGTCTCAGCTCCGAACCTACTTCGGATTTCCCTTAAATGTCCATTTTCATGGAACCGAATTTACAAGCATCCAATTTTATCATCCAGTCGAAAAATCGCTAGGTGAAAAGTAAATATCTCCCAGGTGCAGGGGGAAAAATCAGCCCAATCCAAAGACCCAAGCTATTTTTAAAGGGGAAACATTTCACTGGGCCTTAGTGTTTCCCTTTATCTCTATCTTTTTCACTTTCATTTGTCTGCACGAGCAGTCTTATCAAACGCTTCCCCGATTCCCCTGTAATTTTTTTTTTGCTAACTTCTCTGAAGGGCTGATTCTTAGGATTTCGCCCTTTTCCATTATACACTTTAAAGAAAGGGTCTTGACACCACCCTAGTCTCTGGCGGTCTCCTTTCTGACTTTGTGTTAGTAGAAGTCTCGTTTAGGAGCGCTCTGTTTTAATGGGACTGGGCCCAATCCTGCGTAGTCGAACACTTTTTCAATGGAAACTTTGCCTATAAGGGGGGATCGACCCCCCACCCCCGCTAGTCCATCACGATCGTTAGATTAAGTCTGAAAAGCGGCCGCGTCTTCAAAACCTCGGGCAGCGCTGAGCACCTATGCGAACCAAAGCAGCTCTTCGCAGGTTTCAAAGCAGTTCTTGTCGCTTTCAAATAATCAGCCCGTGGCGGGGGAGAAGGGGGGTGAATGGAGGAGATTTCCGATAACACGTCAACGTCTAGGATATTATTGACATGACACCCCAGAGCTATTTTTCTATTTCACGCCCCTGAAAATGTCCCAACACGGATGAGCCAAAAACCTCACCCACGCGTGAAATGAGCCGCTACTCAGCCATGTACCCTCGTCCAGACAGGAGCAAGCGGCCTCCATTACTTGCCAGTCGTTTGCACTGGATTGCCCTGAAATCCGGACTGCACTAGGAAGTCATAAAACACCATCAAGAAATGGAAGAGAAAGCCTCTGTGTTTAGCAATGCCCTGGAGGTTATAAGTCATAAACCTATCTACAAGTGGAATACTTTCACTCGGCCGGCTACTTGCCAGCCGCACGGGGCGTGGGGCTTGTTGCAAGGGTTTACCCGAGTTGACCCTCTTCGGGTCCCCAAATCCTAAATAAACCCAAAAGCCCAGAGCCAAGGACAGCGCTCCAGGGACACTTTCCTGGCTGTTGGGCAGACATTAGTGACACAAAGGGGCAGTGGCACCGTCACGCGCCCCCGAACTTTTCACTCGACCTTCTCCGAGCAGCTGCCCAAAGCAGCGAGTCTGCGGAGATGTCTGGTGAGATTGGTGACACACAAGGGACTGTAGGCCGAACACTGTGAAAGTGGCGTAAATTCGCAAGAGAGGAGAATCAGGCCTTACAACAAAGGGACTCAGTTCCTCCCAGCATAGCCTGCAGCAGGACTAGGGTGTGAGCTCTCAGTGGGAAATACTTCTTGCTCATCGTTTAACTCGGGCGGGTGGAGGGAATCCTCTTCCACAGATCCTGGAGAGTCCCTTGGCACTTCTTCAGCCTCAGTAAGGCTTACGGGGAGCAGGCCCTTGGACTAGTTGGGAGTGAGCTAGCCCTGACTGAGGTGCAGGCCCAGGGTTTGGAGACCTGAGATCACAACGACATGGGGCTGCCTTCCTGCTTCATGTGTGTCACCTACCTGCTGCTACACAGCCCCGAAACCGGGAACTATCCAGGTGATAAAAGACAAGAGTCAAGCCTAGGGGATGAGGAGGAGGGGGGCAGGGAAAAAAACCCTGCCAATAGGAGTCAAACGGAAGGAAAGATGCGATGAGCCAGAGTTGGCTTTTTTTGGTTAGAAATGTCACTCCGGGATAAAACGATCCCCGCCTGATTTATTCCGAAGGATACAATGTGAATTCCTCGGCAGAGACTTTCCTTTCAGGCCCTGCCAGGTGGGTGAGGCAAAAGCCACTGGTGCTTCCAAAGAGGACCCTGTTAAAAGCTCGGCGTGGTGGTTTCCTCCTGGCCCTGTGGGCTTTGGCTTAGTCCCCTGGATTCTCGTGTAGAGGCGCGCAGTTTTCCGCGCTCCGCCGTTCGCCAGTTAAGGGCGGTTTTCCTCGCTGCGCTATGGATTTTTGCGGATCTGCCTTTAGAGCGTTATGAAAACGGGACGGGAAATTGAAACGGCCGGGGATCGGACCCCGCCGCAAACTGCGCCATTAGAAGAGGGCAAAGCGGATGAGAGCGAAGGACAGAAAAATAAAATCTCCCTCGTGCCTTGTCCCAGGCGATTTCCTAGCTCCGCTTTCCCTCCGAACGGATCGTTTCCCGTTTCCTCTCGAAATCGCTTTCCAGCTCCGAACTATTGGCAACTACGCGCTGCAAAAATAGGTGCTGCGGCGGCAGATGCGTACAATGGGAGAGGGGGTTCTGTATCTGTAACCACCGGGACATGTAAACATGCGAGGGGAAAGTTTGGCCCGTTCACGGCTAGAGGGAGCGTTTAAAGCAAGGAGAATCTTCAATGCCAAATACCCCGCAAACCAGAGCTCCCAAGATCGGCGTAGAAACCATTCTGAATGCAGCTGTTTAGTATTTAGCATTAGTGGCTCCTAAATGAGGGGCTCAGAGTTACCTGCTCACCTTTCTCCCTATGTAACTTTCGTTTGGTTTCTGCTGCGACTGCCGGGCAGCGGAGTTTATCCGTAGGTAATAATATCCCTATTGCCGTGAGAGGACAGCCGTGCAACCCCCACACCACCACGTTCGAGTCCGGCTTGGCCAGGACAAGATATTTTCATTTATTTAATTTCAAAAGGTGACCCCCGGACCGGAAGTGGTGCAGGCTGGCATGTCCAAACGGGGGGTGGCGGGGTGCGCTCGGCTTCTGCCTTAGCTCCTTTCGTCAGCAATTCGAGCTAGCTAACAACAACCCGAGTCTCTGGCTTCCCCCTTTGCAAAGGAGCCCTTGGGGATCACTTCATGCATAAGGCAGAGGACACCTCTGGTTACTTTCTATATCGATCGGTAGCTGGCCCAGGATTGCACTGCTTCTAATGAGCAGCAAAGGGGTTTGTATCGTATCAGCCGGTTTACATGTGATAACCGCCCCCCCCCCTCCG